TCTTCCTCCTCCTTCTCTGTTTCCTTTTCCTCGTCATCATCATCTTCCTTCTCCGTTTCCTCGTCATCATCATCTTCCTCCTCCTTCTCTGTTTCCTCGTCATCATCATCATCTTCCTTTTCCTCCTCTTTCTTCCTCCTCATCTTCCTTTTCCTCCTCTCTTTCTTCCTTCTCATCTTCTGCTTTTCTTCCTCCTTCTGCTTTTCTTCTTCCTCCTCATCTTCCTTTTCCTCCTCTCTTTCTTCCTCCTCCTCTCTTTCTTCCTCCTCATCTGCTTTTCTTCCTCCTTCTGCTTCTTCTTCTTCCTCCTCCTCTTCATTCTCTTCCTCCGTCTTCTTCTTCCTCCTCCTTCTCCGTTTCCTCCTCCTCCTTCTCCTCCTCGTCTTCCTCCTTCTCTATTTCTTCTTCCTCCTCATCGTCCTCTTCCTCCTTCTTCTCCGTTTCCTCCTCCTCCTTCTCCATTTCTTCCTCTTCCTCCTCCTCCTCTTCCTCCCCTCTCATCCTCCTCCTCCTCCTCGCAAGCCTTCCTCCCCTCCATCTCCTCTCCCTCTCTCCCACAGTGGACGGCAAATCCCGGGACTCGGTGCGCGCCTTCACCCGGATGTTCATCGCCGTGCCGGCCGGCAACACTGGGTAAGCCACGGACATCCTTCACCGGGACGGCGGCCGCAGCCTTCGGCCTCGGAAGGGCTTCAGGGAGAAGCTGGTGGGATGGAGAAGACAATTTAGGGCTCCGAGTCGACTTTTCCACGCTCTGGCTCCTCATTTGGAGGTTCTGGAGTGGCTTTTCCAGGGACCCGCTGGTCCCTTGGGGCTCTGGGTTGGTTTTCTGGGGTCTGGCTCCTCATTTAGAGCTTCAGGTCAGCGTTTCTGGGGACCGGCTCCTCATTTTGGGGCTCTGGATTGGTTTTTCTGGGGTCTGGTTCCTCATTTGAGGCTCCAGGTTCATTTTCTGGGGTCTGGCTCCTCCTTTAGAGCTTCGGGTCAGCGTTTTTGGGGACCGGCTCCTCATTTTAGCACTCTGAATCAGCTTTTCCAGAGTCTGGCTCCTACTATGGGGCTCCAGATGAACATTTTTGGGGTCTGGCTCCTCATTTTAAGGCTCCAGGTCTGCTGTTCTGAGTTCTGGCTCCTCATTTGGAGGTTCTGGAGTGGCTTTTCCAGGGACCCACCGGTCCTTTGGGGCTCCGGGTTGGCTCTTCCCCACCACCACTACCACCATCACCTCATTCCGTCTTCTGAGCCGAATTTAATTATTGATGGGCCACCGTAAGTTCTTCCCTGGAGTTTTCTCCAGGCTGAACGATCCCCGGAGGTTCTCCGTCCCGGTGACCTCCTGGTCCTGCTCCAGCAGGTCTTCGTCCTCCCCACGTTGGGTTGACCATGGCCAACGCTCGCCCCATGTCGCCCCTTGTCATCCATCCTCCGGCGCCGTTGAGTCCTGGGTGACCTCGGAGGTGCAGGGGGGACACACCGGTGGCGCTCACCAATTCTGTTTTCTCTCTCTCCAGGCTCTGCATCGTTAACGACGAGCTCTTCGTTAGGAACGCCACCACCGAGGAGATCCGCAAGGCGTTCCTCATGCCGGCGCCCACCCCTTCCTCCAGCCCCGTCCCCACCCTCTCCGCCGAA